GAAAGAACAGATATGATCCAGGGGCATGACTTTTATCTCTCTGATCTAAAGTACTATGTTTTCTTTTTTGGTTTATAGTTTAACCACTAGGAATGCCATAGTCAAACATATCTAGGCATGTGATTCATCTCTCTCTATGCTCCTCCAAGCTGACGTAATATAGTAGTAGTAGGCCTGGATATTGATTTACAACTAATGCAGCAGAAATGGCAAGGCAGACCACACACAAATAGGAAATGTGACTAAAAGACCATGTATGGCAAAGTTTAGGGGGTTGTACATTTATGTTAAAAAGGCACTGCAGAGGTGTCAATTAGAATGTATTAACATATTACTAATGCTGAGTAATGGGCCATTAAGTGCTTAATTATGTAAATCACGCCTTGTTTCAGTTCTAATGACGAGCTTAATCGAAGGGCACGTCTGAGCGCAAGCAGGGAAGAGGAAACAGATTATTAGTAAGCACATTCGGCAGGGGAAGTATGCAAGCTCTATAAAAATATGGAATAAAAATAAACTGTTATTTAATGTCATGGTGTGATGTGGGGTTATTTTAATGGTGAGATAATAATATTACTAAACAAAGTACAAAGTAAATAAACAAACAAACAAATAAATAAATAAATAAATAAATAAATCTACCAGTGGTCACGCCTACACCCCTGTCCTTCTTGTTCTAATGTAACATCTTCCACGGTACACGGTCTTACATTTCCCGCATCTGCAGAAGGATCAGGTGCGCTTCATGATTGGCTGCCGGTGGAGGGGGGGCGGGGCTGCCTCTCTCTAGCCCCGCCCACCCACACTAATAGCGCTCTGTCTATTGGCAAAAAACTAAGGAGCGCAGCGCCTGTCCGTCAGTGCACTCTTCTCCATAGAATTATGATCTCCCAAAGAGCGGCTCCTGCGCTTCAACACTTGTCAAATAAACACGCCACGAGCTGTCCTCAGTGAACCACGACTCGTGTCGCTCACTCCTCTTTCTTTACGGGTGTTTTTGCTTCTCTTTTTTACGCTGGATTTCTCGTGTAAGAATATGTGCGTGGAGAGCGATGGATGCGAGATTGAAGGCTGCAGCAGTTCGGACGAGGTGCACACGCTGTCTGGAAGCATGAGCCCGGCTCTCAAATCCAGCCCGGACCTGCACCCGTGCAAACCGGGACACAAGGTCCACGCCGCGCTGCTCCGGTGCCGCTCACCGGCTGCTGCTGCCGGGATCCTTACCTTTGGGAACATCCTCAATTACATGGACAGATACACTGTGGCCGGTAAGTCTCCTCATTTTCTTAGCTCTAGCTCATACTGGATGGGGTTTAGATTTTTTTTAATAGTAATAGGACTCAAGTTGATTTTTACGGACTGATTGCTTGAGCGGTCTTGAGGAGCTTCCACCAGCGCACCTCCGCGCAGACGGGCGGAACAATGGCTTTGCCTAAGCGCAGTGGACAGTCTAACCACAAGATGTTCACAGTGAACAAGGCTGTATGATTAAATCACACTGTTTTCCAAATCAATACAACGCCGTGTGCTCCTTTCTGCAGATAGTGCAGGGTGATTAATTATCATCTATCTATTATCTAGGCTACTTTATACTATAGCCTCAAGCCTGATCTGTTTATCGTGAGTTTCTTGTGACTGTACTGATCACAAGTGTGACAGACTGGTTGAGCTGCATGCTGTTGGAGTGTGATGCTGGGATGAGGCCATGTGCTTTTAATCCTCTCCAAGCCTCCTTACTCCAGCCTCAGATCTGCCGTATACTCATAAACTACACTGTGTAAACTGTAAAACTAAAGCTGTGGAATAGACTGATGAAAAGAGTTTAGTGCTGCAGTGAAATTCTATAACAAGGCTGCACTAAAATAATCATACACTTTATTGCTTAATCTCATGTACGTGCCTCTGTTCATTTAGTTTATATTTTACTTAAATAAGAGCAATATCTCTGTTATGCAGACTTGTCTATTTCTAATGTAAAGTGGCAGTGAACGGGTTAAGCCTCTGCTGCAGCACTGAGAATGGAGGGAAGTCTGTTGGAGATGTGTCACTGGGCAAAGTGCAGTTTCAGCTCATACAGTAGTAGCATGTATGTAGCAAAAACATGCTCTCCCTTTGGCTTGCTCTGATTATTTTAAAAGTTACTGCATATTTTGTATTCTAACTTCCGAGAAATAGACCATAAAATGATGTTAAATTGTAACTAAAAGCTTGCCTTTCTCAGCACTCCTGGTTCAGTGTGCGTAGCTTGTTGCAGTGGGAGGTAAAACCATGCTGAGAATTTGTTGATAAAATGTGCATATTTAATCCTAGTACCTTCATGCTCTACAGTCTACCAATGGATAACATCTGCAGTCATTTAACTCATTAACCTGCTTATTTGTACTAATAGGGAAACATCTACACTTTTTTTATTATACAGTTGTGCACCTGCTCTGTCATATGGTGCGATGAGATTCCTGTGTGCAGTGCCTTTTCAGTTCAGAAATGAGCAAATTAAGATGAATACGGATGGCAGGTCGGAGCGGGTTGGAGAGGGCTGGGGAGGGGGTATGCTGCTGCAGCTATTGGACCTAACCACCTGGGAGAAGAGACACCTATTCCTGGCACCTTTTAATGTAGTTCATAATGTATACGCCCGCATCGCCAGCACTCTGAGTTACTTTGTGCTTTTAATGCTTTTCTGTGTGTCCCGCTGTGTGAGTGGCACTACTGCAGTAATTAGCCACTACAGCACATCTGGAGATAGAACAACAAAACATGCAATTTACCGTGGCTTCCCTATAAATACTCCAAGATAAGGCAAAAGATGTTACATTGAGGTTTAATTAGCCTCTTACAACTGATTTAATATTCAAAGTAGTACTACACCGATATATATATATATATATATATATATATATATATATATATATATATATATATATATATATATATATATATATATATATATATATGTATATATACATTTTGTGGCTTAATTTGTATCTCGTGTACAACAGCGGGGAGGTTTTTGCCATTTTTTATATAATAATGTAAGATTTGAAGTGTAGAGGGTTGAATAAAATAACTTCTGTAGCAAATGTTTGGTTCATTCTGCTATGTATTTGTTGCAGCTTAAGCCTGTTTAATGAAACAGTATGTTTAAAAATAGGTTTACTGGGATTGTGTTGCTTTGTGTCAGTGTCATAAAGTAGTTTCGATATTATTGTTTATTGCAATATTTCTCTGTTGTGCTTCAAAATTTGTTATCATGGCACGTCTCCAGAGCTGCATGTTACGAGCTTGAGCGGATAGCCATAGAAAACACAAATGAAAAGGAGGTACCGCCCTGAGTGAATGGGAGGTGTGGGGAGATGGTGAGTGAGGGGTCTGGTGCAGTATACAGAGGAGCAGAGCAGAGCATGTCAAAAGACCTTTGTGTCACCAGCTTTACTGTAGTGTCCAGATCACTAAAGCATTGTCACACAGAGACACAGGGTGACCCGTGGAGATGTGGGGGGCTATTGATGGAAGGAGGATTGGGAGAGTTTCAGTAAGATATTTAAGTTTTGTTTAATATAGTATACACAAAGGAGAATTAGACTACAGCTGTAAGATATATCGCATTCAAACTAAGATCACAATTTGAATAGTCACAATTAGCAAATCACAAGGATTATTTAGATACACTGTTAAAAAACAAACTTGCTTTTTGTTAAAAGAATGAATATATTTAAGTCCAGTCAATTTTTTTACCTGTCAAATGCTGAATAAACTCTTAAATGCATTTTAAAGAACTGAAATTATTGCCTCGTCCAGTGAGTATAAGATACATTTTTGGGAGAACTAGAGATCTTATGTCTTGATTCAAAGCCTTGAACTCAAGCGTTCACGCATGCGTCGTTAGTACTATGCACGGGGTTTCCTGCTGCTGCCACGGGCTGCTGCTTAACCATGTGCTAAACTTTGGTCACACTAGCTTCAAGATAGCTCCTACATCGTGGAAGGTAAGTGTTCTTTTCTTTGCATTGTTTTGTCAACTTTCTGCTTATCATATCATTGGCTTTCTTCGAGAAATGTTTATTTGTTATAAACTCATGGACCCGTGCTCCTTTTTGTAATTTAATGCAAAATATGTAAGCTTATATTCCTGATGGCTTCTGATCACGCCACTGCTCACACATCCACAGCTTTGCCCGCCACCACATATTGGTCTGTCCACATGCTCTGTCCGAGTACTGCTCCGCGGTCATTTCTGTGTGTTCTCGCGGTTGCGTGCGGCCCCTTGGCGGGCACGGTACCTCCGCTCCCCGCCCGGTCCTCGCTTTCGCGGGCGCGATACTTCTGCTCCCCGCCCGCTCCTCGCTTTCACGATCTCGCTTTCGCGGACGCGGTACCTCCGCTCCCGGCCCGGTCCTCGCTTTCGCGGACGCGGTACCTCCGCTCCCCGCCCGGTCCTCGCTTTCGCGGACGCGGTACTTCTGCTCCCCGCCCGGTCCTCGCTTTCACGATCTCGCTTTCGCGGACGCGGTACCTCCGCTCCCCGCCCGGTCCTCGCTTTCGCGGACGCGGTACTTCCGCTCCTCGCTTTCACGATCTCGCTTTCGCGGACGCGGTACTTCCGCTCCCCGCCCGGTCCTCGCTTTCGCGGACGCGGTACTTCCGCTCCTCGCTTTCACGATCTCGCTTTCGCGGACGCGGTACCTCCGCTCCCCGCCCGGTCCTCGCTTTCGCGGACGCGGTACTTCCGCTCCTCGCTTTCACGATCTCGCTTTCGCGGACGCGGTACCTCCGCTCCCCGCCCGGTCCTCGCTTTCGCGGACGCGGTACTTCCGCTCCCCGCCCGGTCCTCGCTTTCGCGGACGCGGTACCTCCGCTCCCCGCCCGGTCCTCGCTTAAACAGCTTAAAAGCTTAAATAATGACATTAAAGAGCACAGGTCCACATAACGTTAGCCTTAGCTTTAAGGCGGAGAGAGCTATGGGAAGGGAGCGGCTATGTTCCACCCTGTAACCATGGCCCAATGTTAAAGTTGTAGTTTAATTTAATGATGCTTAAAAAAACAAAACAGTTTTGAACAAATTTTAAGAGTATGTTGTTGGAATTATTTTCTTTCTTTCTTTTTTTTATTTTTATTTTTTTACCGTCTTTACAGATATTATAACACAGTAAAAGGCATTTGGCTTAGATAACCTGAACATGTCACTTATCACTTAACAAATGCCTCAGTTGATGTTTAAGAAAAATTGGCTTTTGGTTTTCATCTTATTAATAAAAAATAAATACATCAAATAAGTATTTTAATTTGTTTAAGTTTGAGTCCTCATGTAATTGCATTGCATTTGTGGCTTTTTTAATGATTTTGTTCTGGTTTACCCCTGACCTTTAAGGATTTACATACATTTAGGGTAAAGTAATTTTATTATTTTCAAATACAGGTTTTTAAAAAGTAATTGTTTGTTATTCCCCAGGTTAGAATGCAGTGTAAAGTTTGCAAATTTCAACACCAGAGTCTGAAGGTCCTCCTGAAGCACTACCGATTGCATCATCATCAAGGCCGACCCTTTCAACTGCCGTGCTTGTATACAGATTGCAGCTGTACATTTAAAAGAAAAGGTGCGTTCATATCACATCTGGCAAAATCACACAACTACTATGTCCCAGTTGCAGAAAACTGCTCTTTCAGATGTGAGCTTTGTGATTTTAGAAAAGTCTGTGATCCAAACAAGTTTTTGAACCACCTAAAACATCATCTGAAGCAATGTGACACTGTCAAATGCCCATTTAAAGATTGCAGTCTAAAAACAAATGTTCTTTCAACATTCTCAAGTCATTTATCACGGAATCATAAGTCACGTACAGTTCAAGATTTTGGCACATGTGTTACATATCAAGATTTAGAGAACATTGCAGAGACCTGCTCTGAGGACACCGGTCATGTAGAGTGTTTGCCAGATCATTCAACTGAGGTTGCAGAGAGCACTGTTTCTTTAAGCACAAATCAAGAACAAGAATCTGAGCCAATTGGTTATTTGGAACTAGAGCACAAGCTTGCTTCACTAGTTCTTTACATGCAGACCATATTGCATGTTTCAAAAAGTGCAACACAAGACATCTTAAATTGGATACAGGATATTGTTTCATTTTCGATAGACACAGCAAAACAATCAATTAATGCTATCCTCAGGAAATCTGAAAGTAATGTGAATGAATCGCTGACAGAGGAACTGACTGAATTGATTGCAACAGAGGTTCTTAAAACAAATCCCCTTTATACAGCCATTTCAGACAAAGGCACACTATCAACTGAACATAAGAGGAATGTTTATTTTAAAGCACATTTTCAAGTAGTAGATCCTGTAGAGTATCACTTTGATAGAGGGAGTGAAGATACATTTGTGTATGTCCCAGTGTTACAAGTTCTTGAAATCTTACTGAATAGAGCCGATGTCTCAGAAAAAGTTGCTTTTGTGGATGATGACTTGCCAGCCCAGTATAAGTCTACTCGAAGTGGGCAGTATTACAAAGATAACCAACTGTTAGGTGCCTACAATGAGTGCATTTCAGTGTCTCTCTACATTGACGAGTTTGAGGCTTGTAATCCTCTTGGCACTTCGAAAAAGATTCACAAGATAACAGCTGTTTACTGGACAATTCTAAATCTGCCTGCCAAATTCCGATCAGCACTCCCTGCAATACAACTAGCGCTACTGGGAAAGAGCAAGGATATAAAACAGTATGGCTATGATTGTTTTTTTGATCCTTTATTAAAAGATTTAAGTCAGCTGGAGCAACATGGTGTTTTTGTCAAAGCCCTCCAAACACATCTGAAAGGCACAGTTTATTGTGTATGTGCTGACAATCTGGGGGCACATGGTCTTGCTGGATTTCAGGAAAGTTTTCAAGCTGAACACCTATGTAGATTTTGTCTAGTAAGCAAAAATGACATACAAACAAAAGATGCTTCTTTTTTCCCATTTAGAACCATTGACCAGCATAACACAATTACAGATGAACTGAGCAGTCACCCAGAGCTTCAGAGCATACTTGGTGTCAAAAAAGAATGTGTTATGAGTAAACGTCTTAATTTCTTCCACCCAATAACTGGGTTTCCACCTGATATCTTGCATGACACATTAGAGGGGATTGTTCCATTTGAGTTATCAGTTTGCCTGAAGGAACTAATACAAAAAGGACACTTCACTCTTGAAACATTGAACATTCAGATTAAATCATTTCCATACAAGGACTCAGACAAGGTAAACAAACCAAAAGTAATTTCCCAGTTAAGCTTTTCCAAAAAAACAATTGGCGGAAATGGGCATGAAAATTGGGCTTTGTTACGTTTATTGCCATTATTTATTGGTCACCTTGTACCCCCCTCTGAGCCTGCATGGGAAATTTTGATGGACTTGAGAGAAATATTGGAGATAGTTATGTCCGTGCAGTTTTCTGAAACCACACTGTGTTATTTGGACAGGAAGATTTTGGAACACAGACAACTTCTTCAAGAGACCTTCCCAAATATCAAGTTGAAACCAAAACATCACTACATAGAACATTATCCACACTTGATTCGCTGTTTTGGGCCATTGGTTGAGCTTTGGACCATAAGGTTTGAGGCAAAGCACAGCTATTTTAAAAGTTTGATCAGAGATGCACGCAATTTTAAAAACATTGCACTTACTCTGGCAACAAAACATCAACTAATGATGGCCCATTACCTCAATGGTCCAAGTCTCTTTTCTTCACCATTGGCTGTTCAAAAAGTAAAGACCGTAAGAACATGTTCATTGGAGACATTACAAAAAGCTGCAGTAGAGGAAAAATATCCACACAAAAATGTTCTGTTGCTTGCATCTGAAGTGGATGTGCATGGACTTCATTTTAGTGAAGGCATGATTTTGTCCTCTGGACAGTGCAGTGGATTACCTGACTTTTTCCAAATACTCTCTGTGATTGTGAATACCAGCAAAGTATCCTTTCTTTGTACAAGGCTTTCTTCATGCTATATTGAGCACTACAGATGCTATGAGGTTTATGAAACAAGTGTAATTGAAGTTCTGGAGCTAGAAAACCTCAATGACCTTCACCCACTCCCACTTTATGTAGTTGGGGGAAAGAACATGGTTGCAGTGAAAAGGTGTCTTCTGCATTAGTTCCTAATTTTAGTTTTTATCAACTTTTTTTTTTTTCTTTGTTTTAGGTCATGCGGCTCCGTGTGATATTGGCCCCTGATAACATCAGGAAATTGGACATCTTGGAAATTCTCACTTCAGAAGAACAGTTAAAAAAAATACTTAAAGAAAAGCTGGATATCAAAAATGATTTTCTTGTTCAGTTTGAAGATCCCGAATTTGGGAATGAACCTTGCAATTTAACTTCAATAACTGAACTTCCAAGTGACAAAGTGGTGTTGCACATAATTCAGAAGTCGGCTGATTCAGATGTGTCGTCATTGGACACAGCAAGTGTATCATCAGAGAGCTCATGCCTAAGTTCCCCAGCCATGGCAAACAAACAGCGTGAAAGTTTACAGTGGCCATCTGTATTTGTGATTCCACAGTTTTCATATGATGTGGAACTACGCCTTGAAAAGGCAAACAAAGACTTCACAGATAATGGAAAACTACTACTAATGATTCCTAGGGACATGAAGATTGACATCCTGGATGAATTAGCTCAGGCAATATTCACATTCAAGGCCTATCCAACGGCAGAGGAGCTTGAGGATGTTGCTATTGCGCTTGTCAAGAAGCACCCATGTCTCAGGGATCCAGGACCAGGAAAAGGCCATCGTAGCTGGATAATGAGTCTAAGATACAAGATGGGGAACTATCGCCAAAAACTCAGTTCAGCTGGATGTTCCGAAGTGCTTGTGAATCGAAAAAGACAAAATAATACTGATTGTAGACGTATAAAGAAAGCAAAAAGATGTGAGGTAAATTTTTTACCAGACAATCCAAGTGGGCATTCAGATACTTCTCTGGAAAATGAAAAAGATGCCCTCAAGGAAGAAATGAAGAAAAAAAACAAAAAAATGGACCTCATTCAGATGAAGATGGAGCTAACATTTTCTTTGAGAAGAAAAGAGATAGTCATGGAGCAACCTCTCGTAGCTGACATCCTTCTACAGTGGCCGGCTTTGTTTTTGCCTGAGCAGGTAAGGTTTTTTTTCTTCTGGGTTGGTGTGAAGTTTACTTTGAGCTATTAGTTAATTAATGTGTTTTTCTCCTCTTTTAGATCAGTGCAGAGTTTTTCAGGATCACTCAAACAAATCTGATGAGCAGATTTTTTACTGCATTGGATGAATATGCTCCAAAAATGATTAAGCTGTACAGAGCACGTGCTGGGGCATGTGGAGCAGCTATGAAGAAACTATTAGAAGAAGTTGATGATCAAGTAAGTATCTTTATTTTGCTAATAATGTTAATGTATTCAGATGTATTTTCATTTTTAAAATCTCTGGTCTGTCTTCCAGCTCACTGGAGTGCTCGCCTTCAGGAAAGCTGCAGCCCTTCGAGGTTTGCCCTTGATCATGAAAGAAGAACCTGGGCACTTCCTGAAGACATGTCTGGTGAGAATTGATATTAATTTTATGATAAAATTATAACATATTTTAATATAACTATTATAATAAATACGTGTGTATGTGCACATGTGTATATATATATATATCTCAATATTTGTTTTACATGCGCAATCATAGACTATAAAGTGGACTAAGCGAGTGTGTTATCACCCACAGCGTTCACCTCCAGTGAAATATAGCCAGGCTCTATAATATGAATAGGATAGTGTAGAGCAGGTTAATACGAACATTTTAAGACCAAAATTATGAGAATCACAGCAGCAGTTAGAGAGGGGCCACAATATTCCAGTGTAAGTCGATGGGAGCCAGAGTAGGAGCCGGAAGAGCCCACATGCAAACTTCCTATTTGGAACCCAGCGGCTAGTGTGTTATATCCACACAGTCTGTGTGTAATATTTTTGTATAATTGTTCAATTTTATAAAAAATAATAATAATTAAAAAAAAATTATAACAAGTTATTATAAAATAATTTTGTTAATAAGAGTGGACATGTATTAAGTGGTATGGAAAATTAGAACTCAATGAGCTGTAATTTTAAATGAAGAAAAGAATCAGTGTAGTCGGTCACCTCAATAGAGACGGACAATTGACACTTGTTTCTAATTAAACAGGATACAGAGCCAGAAGAGAACTGCGTAACAGGAATGAGGATGGGCATCCTTACGGTTGTTGAAGATGATGCTGCCACTATTCTGCCAAATACGAGGGGCCATGCTATTGTTCTTGAAGAACAGATAGTGGTTGACGACGTAAGTGACCTGCCAACAGCTTTTGCGCTTTTATTTGGTCTTATTTATAACCTGAACATGGACTATCCCAACCAACTTAAGTACACATTTGAAGCATTGCAGAAAGTGTTTATGTGCCTGGACACTGACTGTTCAGCCAGAGTTCAGTCATTCAAAAACAAAATCTTGAAGTATTAGGAAAAGTGCATATGACAGGTTTTGATGGTTCTCTCATTTCTGTTTAATTTGGTCAGTTAATAACATTTGTGAATATAAATTGTACTAGTATATAAATCAAGAAGAAATTTGCAAAGAAAAGTTGAAAAAATATGTCGAACATTGCAGGATGTGTAGACTTCTAAAGTTCCACACAGATGACATTGCACTAGGGAGAATTCAAAACTTGTGTGCAATTTATGCATTTTTCTGACACTTTTAACATTATTTCAGCAAAATAAAGAGCTTATTATAGTTTTACTTTTCCAATTTTGTACATTAGAGGAGTTTTGGCCTGGTATACATCATGGTACTTTAGTTATGTAATTCCCTAGTGTGATGTCACGATTTCCACCCAGGAAGTGAAATCTGAAACTTCAAAAAATGGCCAAACTTGGGGAAAAATGTAAAAAAAAAAATTTTTTTTTTAGAAAAATCTTAAATATAATCACTATACTTTAGTGAAATAAGTGCTACAACCTGTCAGGCTCTTTAAGTTTTTCAGTGGTACTCATTTTGGAAAAAGATGGATCGGTGCATCTGTAGTTACACGTTCATTTTGAGTGCTTACCGATAAAGATACATTATTTTTACAGAGTTCTATTACAGAGGTAAATCCAATTCATTATTTAGCCTGTTATCCAAATTAGTATTCAGCTCATCAGCCCCATTTCATTATATAGGCTAAGTTATAATTCCTTTATAGTATAGCCTTTTACTTATTTGAAGGGTTGTTTTTAAGGTGTTACTATGATAGTTAGCTTTGTTGTTAATTTTAAGATACATTCACCTTTTCGGATAAATTAAACCCTTGTGCCTTGTTGAAAAAATGCATACAATGTGGGAGTGTTTCATACAAATTGTATATTTTGGTTTATAAACGGGTATAAAATATATTTTTTTAAATAGGGAAGGGGTTCTCTTTAAAATTACATGTTGGGATTAAAAATTACCATAATTTGCCAGTTTTTGCCCCTTTCCACCTTCTGCCAATTAATAAAAAAGTGATATAATGGAATTATAATTAAATGTATTTCACTCTTATCAGTGTGATGGGGAATATGGACTTTGGGCCATTTATGTAAAATCAACTTGAAAGGAAACAAAAATTGCATTAAGAATGTTTTGTACAAATTGTGCATTCCGATTTCTGAACTGCCTTAAAATCGTCACATGTTAATATTCTTAAATTTTTAGATGGAGAAATACAGATGTATAGATGGATATGGAGATGGATGTATAGCAATTGCACCAAAAACTATTTTCAGAGTTATCACAATAAATGCACCTTTAGATACACAAATTTGCCTTAACAAGGCACAAGGGTTAAATGAGAATTTAGCTAAACTGTTAAATACAATTTTAACAGCCAACATCTGTTAAGTTTATCCTTAAGGTAGCTAACAAACTTTTAATGGATGTGAAATGTTAAGTTTATATGCATACTTGAATATACTAAAGAAAATTTATATTTTGTATGTAATTTTATTGAAGTTTTAACCACATAAAGGTTTTAAAATGTTACTTGTTAATTGTGAAGTACAAGTATATGTCTGCACTTTAAAAATGTTTGTTGCAACTGCACTTATATTAAAGAGGGGGTATTATGCCAAATAGTTCTCTTCAGGGCCTTATTTGACCCTTCCTTATAAAACATGTTAATGCGTTGTTTTTGGCAACTATAGCATTTTCAAAACAATAAAATAACATGGTGATCTAAATGTTACCTTGTAGAAGTAAAATACACCCTCTTTAAGAATGGTTGTCAGAGTAGCAGTTTGATTTTAGAAAAAAGAGCTCCTGTTGGAAGGACTGACTGTTTTGGAATTTGTTTCAATAAATGACACTTTAAAGTTAAATTTATTTTGTACTTGCAGGTTTTTAGATCATTTGGTGTGTGTTAATTGTATGTACTTGACTTTCTTAGCTTGGGCTTGAAGACTTAAATTTAACAATTCACTCTTAAAACTTTAAATAGTGTGTGCAGTTGCTGCAAAGCTTTTTTGAGTTGACGATGCCAACAAGAGTTGATAAATTCACTGTGCCAACAAAAGTTGATAAGTTAATAATGTCTTGGGGTCAACTAATTTGTCTTTGTTTACAAAATATGTGATTAGTAGTTCATACAAATGTATATTTCAAGTCCAGTAAGCGTTTTATTTGCTGTTTGATTAAGTCATTAATATTAGTTGATCCAAAAAATAACCTCCTTGGATCAACTAGTATTAATGACTTCATCAAACATCGAATAAAACGCTTACTGGACTTGAAATATATATTTGTATGAACTACTAATCACATATTTTGTAAACAAAGACAAATTAGTTGACCCCAAGAAATGATTAACTTATCAACTCTTGTTGGCACCGTCAACTCAAAAAAGCTTCGCAGCAACTGCACACACTATTTTAAGTTGAGTCAGCTTTTTTTTTTTACCAGTGTGGTCTAATCACGGTCTATCCCTCTATCTTGGTCCGGTCTGTCCGTCCCTGTGTATCCTCGGTTGATGTGGGTATATTTATTCTCCGTTCATGTTTGTGTTCGTTCTGGTTCGGGTTTTTCCTGATATAAGTCGCTGTCTCTGGATACTCGTCCTGATTGGTGACGCGCGTCTGACGCGAAAATCAGCATTTTCAACTTCTTGACGCTGACGCCTTGGACGCGCGTCTTGGCCGCTGACGCCAAAACGCTGAAGAAGACGCGCCGCGCTGACGCCAGATTCGCGCCGCGCTGACGCCGAAAACGCGCCGCAAAAACGCAGGACGCGCGTCCACATAGACTTTACATAGAAAGTGGACGCTTTGACGCTTTGGTCTGAACGGGCCTTTAGAATAAAGTGCAATTGCACTTCCACTACATTAGGGGGCAGAGCGCTCTCATTGGCAGAGTGTGCGCAGGGAGCATTCGCTCGGTGGTGTAGGAGTTTTGTTTTGCACTGAGCATGCGCGCTTTGCACACAGCACAGAGTTTGAGTATGAAGTGTAGACACGAAGTGTAGCAGACCCTCAAGTGACACCATGAAAACATATTTAACAGGGATGAGAAGACAGACGGAGAGAGACGGAGATAAAGAGACAAACGAAAATCTCCCGAAAGCTAAGACGAGGAAATATGACGAAGCGTATGTAGCGCTTGGCTTCACTGTGACTACGGTGGGAGACGAGGAAAGACCGGTGTGTTACTGCGTCTAAAAATGTTGGCAGCCGACAGCATGAAGCCCAATAAATTAAGGCGTCACTTAAATACATTACACCCCAATCACTCTGATAAGCCGCTTGAGTTTTTTCAGCGAAAACGTGCCGAATATTGCCGACAATCATCCCGCTTTGTGACTGCTACTTCAGTAAACCAGCGAGCGTTGTTGGCGTCATATAAGGTGGCAGTGTTACGCAGAGGTGCACTTATAACAATTTTATAGACAAATGATACTATCTATAGTCACGCGGGGGGGCGCGAGATGTTTTATTCGTCCTAGGGGGGGCATGACAGAAAATAATTGAGAAGCACTGCTCTAGTGTTAATCCAAATTTAGTGTTAATCTAAATTTATCTAGTAATTCAAGTTTTTCTAGTGTTAATTCAACTTCCCTTAGTGCAGTGCTTCTCAATGTGTCTGTGTGTGTCTGTGTGTGTTTGTGTGTGTGTGTCTGTGTGTATGTGTCTGTGTGTGTCTGTGTCGTGTGTGTGTGTTGTGTGTATGTGTGTGTGTGTGTGTGTGTGTGTCTGTGTGTGTGTGTGTGTGTGTGTGTGTGTGTGTGTGTCTGTGTGTGTGTGTGTGTGTGTGTGTGTGTGTGTATGTGTCTGTGTGTGTGTGTGTGTATGTGTCTGTGTGTGTGTGTATGTGTGTCTGTGTGTTTGTGTATGTGTGTGTGTGTGTGTGTGTGTGTATGTGTATGTGTCTGTGTCTGTGTCTGTGTCTGTGTGTGTGTGTATGTGTGTGTGTGTGTGTGTCTGTGTGTGTGTGTCTGTGTGTGTGTGTGTGTGTGTGTGTGTGTGTGTATGTGTCTGTGTGTGTATGTGTGTGTGTGTGTGTGTCTGTGTGTGTGTGTGTGTGTGTGTATGTGTATGTGTATGTGTATGTGTATGTGTGTGTATGTGTGTGTCTGTGTGTGTGTGTGTGTTGTGTGTGTGTGTGTGTGTGTGTGTGTGTGTGTGTGTATGTGTGTGTGTGTATGTGTGTGTGTGTGTGTGTATGTGTTGTGTGTGTCGTGTGTGTGTTGTGTGTGTGTGTGTGTGTATGTGTGTGTGTGTGTGTGTGTGTGTATGTGTCTGTGTGTGTGTATGTGTCTGTGTGTGTGTCTGTGTCTGTGTGTGTGTGGACTGGTCAGTTCCTCGTTGTCCCGTTCACACTGACCTGGTTCCCAAACACACGAGCAGCTGGAACTTCCCGTCCTTCCCGATGCTCCGAGATGACGAGTTTATGGCCTGAACGTATCGGGCGAAAGAACGATCCTGGTCCCCGTGGTCCCCGTGGTCCCCGTGGTCCCCGTGGTCCCCGTGGTCCCCGTGGTCCCCGTGGTCCCTGAGGTCCTCCGCCCGCTGCGCAGACGCCAGGTGGGCACAGGCTTTCTCTGACGGGCACAGACCAGAGGTAAAGTTTTAATTCAATTCATTTCATTGAACAGATTTAATGAAATGGTGGGAGCGGGTGTTGGCGGGTCGGGGAGCGGGTGCGGGTCAGGGGAGCGGGTGTTGGTCGGGGGAGCGGGTGTTGGCGGGTCGGGGGGAGCGGGTGCGGGTCAGGGGGAGCGGGTGTTGGCGGGTCAGGGGGAGCGGGTTTTGCGGGTCGTGTGGAGCGGGTGTTGGCGGGTCAGGGGGAGCGGGTGCGGGTCAGGGGGAGCGGGTGTTGGCGGGTCAGGGGAGCGGGTGCTGGTGGGTCAGTGGGAGCGGGTGTTGCGGGTCAGGGGGAGCGGGTGTTGGCGGGTCAGGGGGGGAGCGGTGTGCGGGTCAGGGGGAGCGGGTGCGTGTCAGGGGGAGCGGGTGTTGGCGGGTCAGGGGGGCGGTGTTGGCGGGTCAGGGGAGCGGGTGTGGGGCGGTGCCGGTGGATTGGGGGGAGCGGGTGTTGGCGGGTCAGGGGGAGCGGGTGCGGGGCTGTGCTGGTGGGTCAGGGGGAGCGGGTGCCGGCGGGTCGGGGGGAGCGGGTGCAGGTCAGGGGGAGCGGGTGCGGGTCGGGGGAGCGGGTGCCGGCGGGTCAGTGCCGGCAGGTTCACTCACCCACAAAGTCCCAGACGAAGATGTTTTTCTGGAAGAGTCGGGAGGATTTGAAGCCGTGAGCGAAGAGCTGCTCCAGAGCCGTGACCAGACTGTTGTCTCCACACAACAGCACCGTCAGACTGCCCCTCTAGAGGGCGACGCACACACAAACACACAACACACAAACATACACACAAACACACAACACACAAACACACAACACACAAACAACACACAAACAAACAACACACAAACAAACACACAAACACAAACAAACAACACACAAACACAAACAAACACAAACAGTTTTAGAGTGTGTATTTTACTTCTGCAGAGGATTAACAGCAAACACATCACATATTTAAATCACTGTGTTACGTTTTATAGTTTAAAAATTCTATATATTCGCCCAAACCGACTCACTCCCCCTTCAGAGCATCACAACACTTCTGGTTAGGGTTGTCCTGATCCGATTACGTGACTGTGGACTCGATCTGGACTCGACGTTATGTTCTGATCAGGTACAGAATAAATAATATACATATAAACCGCACAGCACACACAGGACACAGCAGTTTTTCTGAGGTGCAGGACTTGCTCAGTTACGTCCCGTCAGTGCGTCTGTTGTACTAGAGACACACTTACACTGGGACTCATGGGTCGTGTTGTGCTTAGGCACTGTTACCTGAGGTTCTGTGTTTCGTGTTCACACCTGCGCGACCGATGGCGTCATCACACGGGGCTGTTTGTTGCAAACAAAACAAACAGTGCTGTTGCGCACCAGAGCTGGTGCTTTTGATGTTGAGGGTCCTTCCAGCGGTATAAAGTGTGTATTGAGCGGTGGGACTGATGTTGCAGTGCTGCTCCTCTGTTTGTGGTGTTGCTCTGCAGTGGGTTTGTGGGTTTGTGGATGTGGTGTTGGTGCATTTATTTGGTAAGATTTTGTATTATTTGGATTTCATAGACAAGTCTAAATGTTTCAAACACATATGCTTCCTTATCTGGTTCTGGTCTGGTTCTTGTTTTGTCCAATTCATTAAGTTTACTAACTTACAAGAAAAGTCAAGATTTTCAACACTGATGGTTCATGGTTAGAAAAGTGAATTAAATTAAAGTTTTGGACATTTGATTTTTCACACTAAGTTCAGCCCAAATACGACACATGAAATCAACACAATCTGATCCTCACACATCCTGGGTCTGATTCTTTGCTCCGAGGTCATTTCACAATGTTTTAGAGAAGTATCGGATCAGGACTCGGTATCGGCAAATACTCAAAATCAAATGACTCGGAGGCAAAAAACGTGATCGGGACGTCCCTACTTCTGGTTAATTGTTTCCTCTGGCAAAATACTTATCGAGGGAAGAAAGACGAAAACTTAAAGGAAAACGACAACAACACATTAGTGAAATACTGAACAAAACTAAAGTTATGGTCCTAGAGATGTGGAACATTCAAACTGCACAAATCTGTCTCTGCCAGGGGTCGGCAAACTGAAATCCTCAAAGAGCCGTTTGGAGAGTTTCCCACAGAAAAGAAAAACCCCAGAGCCACAACAGAGCCACAAAACCTGAACTCTGCAGATCGTTTTTTTTTTACCTGTGTGTCACATTTATGAAAACAAAGAAACACAACAGAGAATATGTGTCCATTCATATAAACGTGTGTCTGTGTGTTCCACCTGCACACGTATAATGTGTGAAAAGTTTCACATGAACCATCTCCAACACGACAGAAACACAGAACAGACTCACCATCAGCAGAACACCCCTCTGTCACAGAAAGAACACTCATATTCCACTGAACTTATAGTTTACACACATGAGTCATGTGGTTTTAAGTTTAGTTTGTGTAAAACGTAAACAAATGTGTCAAAGCTGCATTAAACACATTTTTACTCAATGTTTGAGTTTTCATAAGAAATAAAAATCCAAACTTAAATTATCGACCAGAGGCAAACCAAAAACACCGTCTGCTTCTGTGTTCCAGCATCATTTTATCTTTAGTTTAAAAAATAAATAAATCTAATGAATGAATCAGAAACTTTTCTTTTATCCATCATTTACCGAGGAGGGGCTGAAAAACTGGATAATTGTGCTGCTGGTGAAGGACCTGGTGAGTCCGGGCTGCAGATCTGTGCCGGTGTTGCACTTTGACGCATATTTTGAGCGAAAGCTACAAGATTACCATTATCTACAAATTTAGAATTACATTTTAAAAAAGAACAAACTAAAACAAAAAATACACTGGAAAATAAATAATGAGTATTTAATTTGACACAAACCTCTTTCTCGGGTTTGTGGAAGTGCTTGATCATGTTGTTGACGACTTCTCCGACCGCGTCCTGGATCTGCCCCGACGTCGGCTCTGAAAACACCCAAGCACATCCAGTGTTATCTGTCTAAAATGTACCCAAGTGTGGCATTAAAATACATGTATCCATGGAGACGAGCAGGTGACACCACTAGGCCAAGTTACAGTTCAGATCTGTGGAGAGGAGAGCCCATTAACAGGAAGAATCAGAGCTTTTCCCACACACATTTGTGTTTAAACAAGGACTAAACCAGGACTAAACCAGGTCTAAACCAGGACTAAACCAGGGACTAAACCAGGTCTAAACCAGGGACTAAACCAGGACTAAACCAAGGACTAAACCAGGACTAAACCAGGTCTAAACCAGGACTAAACCAGGACTAAACCAGGACTAAACCAGGACTAAACCAGGAAAACCAGGACTAAACCAGGACTAAACCAGGACTAAACCAGGACTAAACCAGACTAAACCTTCGGCGTGAGGAGGTTGTGGGTTAGATTCCCGGGTTTCTTACTGATTCCTTTGGCGGTGATGCTGCTGAGGCTGATGCGTCGCGTCTGGGACGGCGAGCTCTGCTGGGGGGGGGTGGCACTCCCTCGTCCGGCCTCCTCCTCAGCGCCTCCACCAGGGGGCAGCAGCTCCCCGATCAGCACGCGCTCCAGACTCCCATCGTCCACGCCTTTCCCCAGCCACCGGCCACACGGGAATCTGACACACACACACAAACACACACACAAACACAACACAAACAAACAACACACACACACAAACACACAAACAACACACAAACACACACAACAACACACAACACACACACACACACACACACAACACACAACACACAAAAACAAACACAAACACACACACACACAGCAGGGGTTATCATGGAGGAGATACAGCAAAGAACTTAACTTAGACTCAATTTCCTGTGGGCGAATTTGATTTATTTTGTCTTCAAACTGAACTGAAAATCAAAACTAAACCAGAGTCTAAGCCACAACTAAACGAGAACTAATCCAGTCATAGAACATAAGTTCTAAATATTTGTCCGAATGAACCCAATGGGTTCAGACGAGTCCGGTCGGGTTCTGGTTGAGTTTCGATGCTCTAGTCCAGGCGTCCATGATCTGTTGGCAGATCGTGGCGTAACTCGCCCGGTGAACTAAAACATTCTGACAGATTTTTGAGCGCCGTGTATTAGTGAAGGGCACTTTGTGAAGGGCTGACTAGTGTGGTCCTGACCTGCAGTGTGACCTGACCAGTGTGACTAGTGTGGTGACTGCAGTGTGACTACCTGACCTGCAGTGTGACTAGTGTGGTCCTGACCTGCAGTGTGACTAGTGTGGTCCTGACCTGACTAGTGTGGTGACTAGTGTGACTAGTGTGGTCCTGACCAGTGTGCAGTGTGTGACCTGCAGTGTGACTAGTGTGGTCCTGACCTGCAGTGTGACTAGTGTGGTCCTGACCTGACCTGCAGTGTGACTAGTGTGGTCCTGACCTGCAGTGTGACTAGTGTGGTCTTGACCTGCAGTTGNCTTGTAAAAACCTGATCCCGTCAGATCTCAGAAGCTCAGCAGGATGGGCCTGGTAGTACTTGGATGGGAGACTGCTAGGAATTGCAGGTGCCACAGTGCGGCGCCAGTGGCAAAAAAACTGTCATTGTGTCCTTAGGCACTGCCTAGTATGAAAGTGGTGTGAGCGTGAGTGATGGTGGTGGTCGGAGGAGCTGATGGTGCAGATTGGCAGCCTCGCTTCCGTCAGTCTGCCCCAGGGCAGCTGTGGCTACAGTAGTAGCTTTACCACCACTGAGTGTGGAGTGACTGAATAATGAACTGTAAAGTGCTTTGGGTATCTTGAAAGGTGCTATATAAATGCAATCAATCAATCAATCACTAATGTGACTCACTTGCTGGAGCAGTTGTTCCATCACCACAGGGTCATTTAGATTTGCAATGGTTGTGTTCAGCTGTAGTTTGATCTTGTATTTCTTCACTGAAACAAAAGAACAAATGATTCAATAATTGTGTAGTTAGTATGTTTCTGCTGTTGTTTGGTGTACAATTATCTTCTTGAGTTAAAATGACTTCAGTTCAAAGTGAGTTGTTTTTCACAGTAGGTTATGTATTGTATTTCAGTTTTGCTCAAATACATGGAAACAAATTGGGTCCTTTGATTAGTGAGAATCAAGAATCCAAGTCATTTGTACTCATATGTTGAAGAATAACAGGATACACACCAGCCCAGCCGTAACAGATGAAAGGCCTCATCTTGTCACAGTTTGAATCCGCCCATCTTCCTCCAGACTCAAAGTCTGCCACCACACAGTGCTCGAGTGTTTCATAGTTATCAGGCTGCAGGGTTTTCCAGAAGGAGAAAGTGGAGTTGTTTCCATCCAGCCACCTCCAGCGCTGCCTTGTTGAGGCCGATCCAGGCGTTGCCAGAGGGGACCAGGGCTGCGATTTGGCTGTTCTGGGTTGCGTCTTTCACACTGGCCAGGTCTGTGTGGTGCTGCCTGCAGTACTGCTGAGCCTCCTCCCAGGTGAAGGAGTCATTAGTGAGCACAAAGGTCTCTGAGGATCCTGGGACGTAACAGAAACAGTCTGTCAGAGTTTCACACACATGAATAAGATAAGTCCTGTTTGGATTTACTCTGAGACATTTGTGTGACATCACAACATCCTAGAATCTCCATAGTTTAACTGAACTGGAGGACAGCTCAGACGTCTGTGGTAGAATTTGCTGTTTAACTGTGAGATTACTTGTCTGTCAAATCCAGAATGATCTCTGATATCTGTATATTTTATACAGAGGGATTTCAGTCTGGTTTCCACTCCCTCTGTCCCACCTCGAGCCAGGCTCAAACATGTCACTGAAATAACCAAACCTGATTGGACGGTCGTGTTTGAGTTTGGCCTGAGAGCGGATATAAAATACACAAAATACAGTTTAGAGAAATATATTGTATAGAAAATAAAAGTGGTTCTGTGAGATGGAGGTTGGAAGTTGTGCGAGTCTGGATCCCAGACAACAATATTATGAGCTTTGAACCTTGTTGATATGTTGTTGCTGAGTTTTTTAACTCTGAAAAAAAAGTTTGAATTATTTATTCTGATTTTAGTTGCTGAAATTTTAAGTATACTTTTTCATCAATATGTTTCAAATTCAAAACAAAATTCAGAGTGTAAAATTCACAGCAAAGCTCCAAGACAGAAGTAATCGATCCTGTGTGAGTGAGGAGGACAGAGGCTGTTTCCTATTGGCCGTTCTCGTCTGTGGGCGGAGTTTACACTGAACAAATAAAAGAGATGAAAGTTTGGATGAGGCTGATTCTGACCAATCAGATCGCTTCACTGCACCATTTCCTGCTTGTTACTAAGTTAGATTTGATCACTTTGGATCGATTACTTCTGCCTTGGCATCTTGGATCTTTTCCATGGATCTATAATAATCTGGATAAGCCCCTCCCCCTCTGTCCTGGCTCCAGACAGACTAGTGGCCGCTCCAGGTACTGCAGCTCCGGGAGCTTGGGGCCAGAAAGAATTCTCCCTCAGAGCGAAATGCATTTTGAGAATTTAAACTGCTCGTGTTCAAGGTGAAGTGGAGCTGCATGATGTGGAACCAGCCCAGAATCTCACCTGTCAGATTCACACAGATGGCCTGTAATTGGTGGGTACATTGGTAGTCTTCCCACTGTCCGCTTTGATACATCCAGACACAGAACTGGTTTGCGTGGAGGTTATTTGGGCCCCAGGAGTCCAGTTCCTGTAGTTCTCCTGTCCCTCGCTGTAGTAGGTCGGGTCTGACAGGGACCAGCTCCAAGTGTTGACGTCATCATACAGCCCGATCCAGGTACCCTGTGAACATGGACCACACAACATCTGAACACTCAAGTCTTTAAAATACGACTGAACACACCATGTGTATCAGGTCAATACATCTGTCTGTCTTTTTGATGCTCTCAGGAGGCTGTACAACTTTTACAACAGTTTTACTGATACTACCAGTACTACTAATTCTACCAGTGCTACAACCACCCCTAGTCTGATTCATCAGCTGGTTTCACTGCGTAGAAACCGTCTGACCTTGCAGCATTAGGATTCGTTCGCTCGATGGTAGACGGGTACGTTTTTTATTTAACCAATCGCTGCTATTTGGTCTTGACGTATGTAATGCTCCACTAACGGGACTAACTGGTATATTAAGCTTTTCCCAAATCCTGTAGGAAGAAGAACAATAACGTCTTTCCCCTTGATGAAATTCACCAAACATTCTCTTTGTTCCAGCTTTAAATCCTTGATCTTGGGAATTATTGTCAACACAGAATGTCTGTCTTCGTCTACATTCATCTCAACGCTTTGTTTACTGTTGTGCTGTTCCACAAAAGGGACACAGACAGACGCCACCAGTTTGACGTCATGACTTCACAGCTCTTCACTGATTGGCCGGTGTGCGGTCGACAACTTCTAGGGTTTTTGCAAACCGTCTAGTGTATTCTGATTCCTGATCTAGTGGCTAATCCACCCCAGCACCACGACCATCAACGTATGTGCACCCTAAACGCCGCCACACACAACAGGAGTTTTTGGTCTTAAAGGTTGTATAGAGGATTTTCCAAGGAACGAGAAATCCAGCTCCTTACGTAGAAACGCCTCCTCCCTCCTCCTCCTTACGCCACAAACAGGTTTGTTTACAGCCGGTGCGCTGCACATGACTTGTAAACAACTAACTACAGTGTTGGTTAGGCAAGACGGAGAAGTGAGGAGCGGGGGAGGGGGGGCGCGGACATTTCGTGCGCAGATAAGAAGTGAGGAGCAGGGAGAAGAGCGGAACGGGCAGTGGGGAGAGGAGCAGGAAAGGGTGCAGAGAAGGTGCGCGGAGATTCCGTGCCAATGAACTAGCTACAACACGCAGCAGCAAGCGGACTCTTTCTTTGCCTTGAAAATTACGTTTTCAGACATAGGATATCGCATTTGTGTCCTGAACAACGTTTGTCTAAGCTCTTGGAAATAAAGTACGTTTTCATAATAAGCAGAAGTTTCCTGTCCAGGAGTAATTTGTGGACCAGTGCGTCAGTCTTTAGACCCTTCGTCTGCTTCAGTTGCGCCATCGCTGGAATGAATCTACAAGAATCACCTTAGTTTGGCTTCGCTGCTTTTCCCCTTGTCTTCTTCTTTCAGCGACCTCAAAAACTGACTTTCTTTTGCGGCGAACTGCTCCTGGATTCTTGTCGCCATTGCAACAAACTTTGTGCGAACTGCGAGGAAGATATAGGTCAAAAAAGCCGCTAAGAACTGTTGCGTTGGTGGAGTAAACAGCGTCTGTGCGTCTTGCGTCTGTGGACTGCGTGACAGTCGTACGTAAACCACGTACCGGCGGCGCGCAGGCAAGTCAGTTACACTAGAAACGTAGGGAGTTTGATTGACAGCCTGTCAGCTCACAGATAACGAGGCAGTGTCGTTATCTATTGGCAAATGTTTAGCCCCACCACGTCCAGAGTTGATGAATTTTTATTCTCTTTTCTTAGTCATCATAATTACAAGGCTACTGCATCTCTATAATGCTATCATTGACAATTTGAAACTAAAAAAAAATCCTCCATACAACCTTTAAACAATTTTTAAATGTGCGACAAAAAGCGCACACCACAGACACAAGGAGAATCTCATGAGATTTAAAATCTCCGATCACAAAGATTTCAGTGGGATCTGTGTGCGGACCACAAGATAAACAGGTGTGAGTGCATCACGCCTCAGCTGTTTCCTGTCTACAGTAAAACCAGTCACTTTGAGACTCTTAAGTGTTCAAAAGATCAGAGCTCTGCACTTCTAGTTCAGATGCAAGTCAAAACTGTGTTATTATTATTTGTGAAATGTGGTGCAGAACTTCAGATACATGATTTTTAAAGCACAGATAAAGTTCACAGGAAGTAGAGTCATTATTGTTAATCTGCAATAAGTGTGTGGTCTTTATTTTATGATAGACTGAAGTTTGGCCTTGTGGTGATATGTGTCCACTCACATTCCTGCTGTCTCACTTGCTTTTCTCCTCTTTGTTTGTCTCCATTGATAAAACTTTAAAATACATCAGATAAACATACATCTATTTTAATCTTCAAAACACAGTGATACATATTTCTTCATATTTGTGGTAACAAAATATGCGTAATCGTTATAATTTTTTTTTTTAGGTAAAGACATTTTTTGATGCTTTCCCAAATATAGTATAGTATACTATATATTATAGTATCATTCTCTTAGAATTAGATTTTAATGTAAATCTACCATCTACCATCTATTGTTTAATATTAAATGCAGCATAATGATGTTTAATGAATACTTTTTTCAGTAAAAGATTTAAAAAGACAAAATGAATTTGAAACAACAGCACTAACTTTCCCTTTCTTCTGTGTGCAACATAAGCAGCAAAGGGGGAAAATATGCACTTGAAGAGCAAAATAAATCCATCACAATAAATCCAGGATCCACCTTTCCCCTTTCCCTCTCAGTCCGCTTATTGTCTCGAGTACATTTTTGTTGATTAAATGACCACAGAGGCGTGTATTTGTACTGTGTTTCTGGAATTATAGAACATTGAATGACTGAAAAACATTGCCCGAGCAATCCTGACGCATTTTTTTCCAAACTACTTTCAAACTTGGATTATTGAATGAAATGTAAAGAGAAAGTTACCACAGAAGTAGATTTCCTTGTGTAGAATGAGTTTGCCAACTGTTAACCATGAGCGTTTTAACTACAACGAGTTTAGCAAAAAAGTGGTGGTGGCCGACTCAGGACGAGCATAGCGCTGAGTGACCGCCTTAAGGCTCACTCCCGTTAATGTCTCTACACTTACATTGAGGAATCCGTCTGGAGGTTTGAGCAGCTGCAGTCTGCTCCGGTCGACCATCTCGTTTAGGGTGAGTACGTCCTCCATGTTCTCCACAGTGGCCAGGTCGGTGTAGTGCTGTCTGCAGTAGCT